ACGGACACTTTGAGGTGTAATGCAACCAGGCAGGTGTGAGGGTCACAGCCAGTTTGTGGTCGGGCGTCTTGACCCCTGCTGTCTGCTTTGTCTGACCGTCAGAGGAACCTCTTAATTAGAGCCTTTGGTTTGCAGCGTTTGCCCAGTACAGCCCAGCAGACCCTGAGCAACAACCTCTTCATTAAATGCTCCTGGGTGACTTGGCAAGACAATTCTCAGTTTGCCAATTCCCTCTGCACAAAGGCCATGTTGATAAAATCTTTTCAAACTCGTCTCTTTTATTCTCCCTTCCATTTTCTGACTATACGGAGAGACACAATGTGCATCTCTGTTTGTGCAAGTTTTGCTAGAACTCTTTTTGTCTATAATAATTGTTTCTCCACCATTACAGTTAAAGTAATTAGACAAAAATATTGTACTATACTGTTTACGTAACTGGGTTTACTGTATGTAGACAAATTGACTAAGAATTCTGAATGCCTTAAGATTTCCTGTGTCATGGCCTTGTGCTAAATGAATAAAACTAAACTGAATTGAACTGAATGGTAGTTTATTCAATTCATTCGCAAATTGTCAGTGTTTTTACAGTCCTTTGTAAAAGTTGACTTGGCTAGAAGGCATATCAAACAGCATAAAGGGTCTTCATTTGGCCCACATCCATACATGCCATCTTTGGGTTCGGTTCATTTGAATGGCCAGAGGCACCACCAGCTGAAATGTTTATGTGCATCACACAGTGTTGACAGTTACAGCATGACACACATAATTACCACTCTGTTTTCCCCTGCACACTGTGCATCTTAATACATGCTTGTTGCTGCAAATTCAAGTATGTGCACGATGACTTCTTTCAGCGTAGAACACAACGAGCAGAGGCTGCAGGCGTTAACGTTTTTTCTTCTCCATGAGACAAGTCAGATACTACAGTACATACAGCTATTTTTTATAGTGGCATGTACAGTTTGAATCTTCATTGAGGCGCAGACACTCTGTAAAGCTCTGCAGATGGTCCTCCCACATTGTTGTAGGCACTACTCCCTTTTGAAACTTCAATATTGACAGAGAAAAATGATTCACCATAAGTGATCATGTTTCAGTGCTATCCAGTATCACATCATAACATCGTGAAGGAACAGACAGTGAGACAGACTGAGGGAGAGGCTGATGCAGCGTGACAGACAGAAGGAGGGAAGCAGAGAGATCCTTGCTGTGACACCCTTTTCACTCCTTATGAATGGCGTTTTCATTCCTCTCAGCACTCTTTGGGACTTCAAAGCATCCATCTCAGCTGAGTGATTTAGTCTTACTATTATATCAATGCGGAATATTCAGCAGGGTCGGTCTTTTCTCCCTTCAGTTTGGGCTCACTAGCTCTTTCTATCTGCTGGTATCTGTGGTTCTGGAGGTGCATAGTTCTGATGAGCAGCTTTTTTTACTCAGTTGCTCTTCAAAGTCTGGCTTTCTTGGAGCTTTGTACAGGCTGATCCAGCTTAAGGGTTAGCTACTGGGTTTGTCTCCAACCGCACTGTAAATTACTGACATTGATTGAGATACATGATAGAAAGCTTGATTAAAATGCAGTTAATGCACATTATTTGCAGCTAATTTATTAAAATTCCATTTGAATACATACCCTTTTGTTGATGTATTGCAACGCAAAAAATGAGAAAAATGTATTTCATATAGAATAGAATATTAGAAAAAAAGAATAATCAATGAATCAATAATATAAGGGTTATGGTCATGAAAAAATATTTGCACTTCATGGCACAAAATATATGTGCTTTTGTCTAACTTCAATAAAGACATCAAGTTAATATGCTTCCATGCTAAATAATGAAGATATCGACTCCTAGAGACTAGTTGGGCCATTTGGGGTAGACAGCTGTGTTGCCACGGTAATAAGCTGATTTCTGGGATACAGTGACAGGAGTTTTAACTCTGAGCCTCTGAAAATCTTTCAGATTTCACAGAGCTGACGGTTAGTTTGGCCCCAGCAGATTCATTGTTCATGATACGCATTCCATCCCTGTTCAGGGTAATTTCATCATCTGTGTTCTCCCGTGGCTTTTTGTTTCACAGGTTAGTCTCGATTTTTCACAGTCATCCATCTCAGTCCTCTTGCTGTGTGATGAAAGATGTGTTTGCTCATTTAAAGACCTTTTCTGTAATAAAAAACCTGACTAATATCCATGGTACATTGAAATACTGGTGCTATAGTATTAATGTAAGCTCTGTTTCAGAGGAAAATGTTTTCTTTATGAAATGGAGAGATTAGTCCAAGCAACCAAGCTGCATCAACTGACCCTTACAGTTCAATGGCAGAATGTGGATGATACAGAATCTGTGCAGCAAACTGTACCTAATGTCAGAGCTTAACAGCTCCCTGCTGATCTGTACCTCTCAAGGAGCCAAATTCAAATGTCACAACTGTACTGAAAAGTAAAAAAATCCCCCAAAAGGAATATATAAGAAACATGCCAGTTTTTCCTTAAATATTTAGAATATTTGCAGTGTTCATATGTGAAGTATCTCGATCCCGTACATCAAATTAGCCCCTAAAGTTTATTTCTGACAAGCAAAGCTGGACTGACTGTGTTCCTCCTGCTTGTTATGCTGCTATGGCTATGGCTTGGAGTTTTTTCAATCTACTGTTTTCATGTGACAGAATATTGTCTGGAGGGTGCAGTGAGCAAAAGTTTTCAGTGTCATACATAAAACACAAAGTGTGTGTTCCTGAAAACTGAGAGGATGTGTGAGTGTGTGGTTGTTTGTCTCTGTGTGGCCCTGTGATGGACTGATGACCTGTCTGGGGTATACTCTGCTAATGACAGCTGGGAAAGGCTCCAGCTCCCCCCTCTCGCGACTTTATAAGTCGTAAAGAGAGTGGATAGATGAAGTTCATGTTGTAGATTATGTTGTAGAACTTTTCCTTTGCTGTCATTTGCCATTTTTTACATTAAGGTATTGACAAATACTTGAAACACAATATTGATAATACAACTTATAACAGCCCAAAATTGTGTAATACAACTAATTATCCTCCAAGTTACAAAAAAGACAACATTTTAAGAGATTTTGTGTGTATTTTCCATATTCCATATTTTTTACAGAATGACTGACATACTGTCAATTGAGCCTCTGGCAGAATTAATCACCCTGTAATGATGTGGGACAATCGTTTAGCTTTTCTGTTGAAATTCACATGACAAGTGGGAGAGGAAAATAGAGTTAGGATAGTTAATTGGCTGAAAATAGGTCTTACAAGCAGTCTGCCCCACTTTCAATTCCTTTGTGTGGTGGGGTGACCCCCACCTACTGAGCTGCTCACTCTCCTGGATCCCCCTTTCCTGGCCTTTGGGCTGAGTAGGCTGTCGGTCCGGAGAGACTCCACGCTGAGCATTTGATGGCCCACAGAAGAATGTGTGAGGTGCACTGACCCATTCACATTTCTTCCCATGCACTCATGCCCGAGAATAGGCTGACTTATCACATGTGATACACAGCTATGCACAAACCAGAAGTGACAGCTATAGGGCTTTGGGAGCGCCACAGAGAAGAAGGAGCTTCTTGGATGTGCAGTTCCCACCCAGCCAGACTTTAAGAGGGGACAGGTGTTGGGTGGAGAGGCCCATTTGGGTGTTGTTAGTTTTTTTTTGCTATTGTTTGCCTCTCCTCCAACCATTTGGAACCGTTTGAGGAAACATTTGTGTACTTCCAAAGTTCCACAAAACATATGTTTTTGTGGAGATGTCTAAGTGTGTTGAAAGAGACTTGCTATAATCTCTCTAATAGGTTAATCGTCTTAACTTGAAACATACATAAATCTCTCACGAGTGGAAGGCATGCCTGTTTTTATTGTCTTTTTTCTTATGCGTGTTGGGTTGTGTGTGCGCTGGATTAGTGTAAAGTTGCAAAGCTGAGCCGGTGCTTGGAGGTGTGGGCTGTAATCGCCTCTAATCACCTGACGTGTGATGGCCTGATCCCTGTGGTGGTGCTGCGAGTGTATGCATTTTCACCCTTTCACATTCACACTGAATCACATGAGCGGCTGATAGGATTCAGTCCACACCTGAACCATAATAACTCACTCTTGGCTGCAGATTAATGTCTGGATAAGCAGCTTTAGTTCCATACAGATTATGTCAATAAAGGATTGAGGTTCAAGTTGGTTCCATTTTTTGTGCAAATAGATCTTTTCTGGGCTTTTCTTGTTGGTAAGTCTTAATACAATTGCAGCTATATTTCCATTTTGAAGTATGTATATATAGATATTTTCCACATGACAGTTTAAATGTACACCACTGTACAAAGTGCAGACATTCAGAAATGGATTGATATCATCAAATTGAAAACAATTAAAAAATTATGTCATATAAACATGTTTTCTAATTGTTTTTCGATTGTAAATTGCATGATTCACATCTGGGAAAATTAGAAGAGGTTAGAGTACTATTGTGTCAGGATAAATAACCCCAGATCAGCAGCAAACAGGGTCTTTTCTTTTTGCTTCATTGTGTCGTAAGCTGGAGTTCAGTCTTCCTCTGCTCTGGATTTGATACCAGTGGGCTTTACTACAGTATATATACATGTGCTCTGTAAGTTTATAGTATTTCGTTCTTGCTGTAATTTCCATGTATTTTTTGGCTTGCTGTCTGTTTGCATGCCTGTGGCTATCATTCATAAGAATTTTATTGCAGCCTTTCACACCTCGTTCAGCCCAAGTTTGTCTCCGTGGCCCCAGTTAACCCTCTTTTGCGGAGTTCGTTGTTTTCTCCGTTCTGTGCGTTAGAGATGTGAGAACTTGCAACATGTGTGTGCGTGTGTGAGCGTATGCAAAAAGACAGAAAGGACATGTGTAGATATACTCAGCTGTTCTCTCTGTGGTGTCCCAGCCATAGAATGGGCTGGACGAATAGCACAGTGAGAGAGCAACCAAGTAACACCCTCCTCCCCCTCTCTTTTGTCCCCCTCTTTTTTCTCCATGTCTGTCTCTCCCAGGCTGTCAGTGTGGAGTAGTGCTGGAGGCTGCAAGGGAACTGTGGAAAGTTCCTGAGAGTGCAAAAAGGCAATCATTCACAGAGAATCACAGAAAGAAGACTGAGACTCTTTCTCAAAAAGGATATAGAACCCGTTCTCGCACCTCGGGCCTGTTGCGCAGGCTGCGATTGCTGGGGCAGCACCTTGGGGACTTAAAGGAAGTTGGGACTGGGCAGCGTGGTGATGATGTGGCTGTCTCAGGAGTGGGCCTGGCAGGCTGTTCTCCTGCTGATTGGACTCGCATCGCTGAGCTGCAGGTCTGATGGTGAGTACTGCACACCAGATCTCACTTGTCGTGTTTTGAACCATGGACTGTCTTGTCTTATTGATTTTACTCATCTGACTTCCATGTGTATTCTTTAGGATGGAAGACCGGACATTACCTTTATTTGATTCTTGAGTCGAGTGTGTTTTATCGATCGTATTATGAGCTGACACTTTTGATCATACTTTCTGTCGGTCTTTTACTGTGTGGTATTCATCATGAACAAAGGCTTCCATGATCTCCGCAGGGGTTACCATGAGAGCGGTTATGCATTTATCTGCTCCGACTTCTCCCTCCCCAAACCCCCTCCTTTCCCCAGACCCCCGTTCATGTTTTGAATTGTTTGGAGATGGAAAGCCAGTTGTCTTTTTACGATGAATGCCCATGGTGTCATGGTGCCCTGCAAGGTTGAGACAAGCTCGAAGGGTCGACAGGCTTCCACCCTCATGAAGATGACACTTTGTTCTGACTTGATTGATAAGAAGAGATAGATATAAAGGTAGTTTCAAAAGTTATCTTGATATACATTGAGAAGAATTCAAAATCAGATTATTGGAAAACATTAATTGATTATATACAATTTTAAAAATGTTCTTTAAAAAGTTAATCAGTGTGGCTTTTAAAAATGTAATCAGTGGGTAGAAAATAAGTTGGCTGTGTGATTATGAAAAATTGATTGAGGCAGTAAGTAACTAACGTCACATCTTAACACAAGTCTAAAATTGTGCCTTTTACAAAGTTGCCCAGAGCTCAAATTGTGTTAAAACTAAAGGCCAGCTGTAAAGTCTCAATCTGACTGTGTGGCTCTGAGCTATATGTACCTTTCACAGTTGGTCATCAAATATCTCAGCTGCCGATGAACGCTTCTTTAGAAGATTTCTTAAACTCTCCTGAGAACAGAAGCTAAGAATTAAAGCTCAAAGTGAATCTGAAAGTAAGGAGCAACGCAACTGAAAATATACAACAAGACTGAGTTCAAAATGCTCCTGAAGAGAAACATTTATTAGCACTGAATATTAACTGACTCAGTATTCTTTCTCTCTATCAAGACTGAGCAATTGTGGCTAAGCAAAAGCTGTGAGCTGCTTGGAAACATTCAGTACCAAACCACTTTTTGCATTTTTCTTTCTCTGATTTGATCTTTTAAAGGTCACACAAATGAGTTAACCATGTGGGAGGTTGTCCATAAATCTGAGTTACACGGCCAGTTTGCCACCTGTTTCTGCAGGCTGGTGAGGTGAACAGAAACTGGATGAATGGCTCTAGTCATGATGTCTCAGTGCACTAGAAGCATTAAGATTTCGCAGACAAAGATAAAATTGTTATGATGATTCCAATGCTGATTCAGTCCTATTCCTTTCACCTGAGCTTTGCAGCTGATTAGCCTTCTAAACTGGAAAACAGGAAAATGCTCAGATGGCAAATCAAAGTCCCCTATTTGCAATGTTATTTGCAAGCTTTTATGAAATTTTTCCACAAAACGTGCACATGTGGAGCTGTTTGTTTTGACGTGAGGTCAGAGTGCAGTGCGGCACGGCAGGCCTGCTGTACAAAACAGCAGCGGTTGGTCCTCAACTTGACCATGCTCCTTCAGTATTCTGCGAGCTGCTTCCTGTCAGGATGTGGATAAAGTTCCCCCACTCTGAATCTGATCCCAGGGCAGATCTGCTGCTCCGTTGGTCAGGCCTTAAAGAAAAAGCAGTGTGTGATAGTGTTACATTTGCCCATGTGGAACATGTTCATATTTCTTCTTTGTGAGATTCGGAGGCTTAGAAATATTTTTCGGGGGGCTCAGAAGGGGTTTTCAAAGGCAGAACATCATCTAGTTGAAAACCATTAAAGGAGAGGTTTTTCAATAATACATTTATTCCAGTTCATGAACAGCTTGAGACTGGTTCATAATTGTATATCAGTGTTTGTATATGTATATATTAGTCCAAGAACATGAATGAAATTTGCCCAATGTCATAGATGTACACGGCAACATCTCACACCTTGACACCAATGGTATGGAGCATTAAACACTGACTGAGTGAAAGATTAGTTTTAACAAGTAACTAACTATCACCAAGGAGCTCATTAGCTGTGCTTTGTATTTGGTCCAACTTCATGTGGAAAACCTTGGGGAGAAAATCTGGTTAGTTTGTTGTCTTGCGTGTAAAAGAATCATGAGAAGTTTTCATAAGAAGTTTTCTAAACCAATATTAACTAGGAGAGTTTTGAAGGGCTTGACATATCTCTTGCTCAACAGTGCGTAGTATCATTAAACATAATTTCACTTCATAGAGAGCAGGGTAAGTCCTTACTAGACATCAATGTGCACCCATCCCTCATACTGTGCCGCATCAGAACTGTCATTCATAAGTCCCTGATATACCGTAACTAAATAAGCAAGGTAACCTTTTTCAAGTCATACAAAACAAACCTAATGTAACATTCAAACTTAACTGCACAGAGAAAGGCTTGTGTTAACCTAGTCCAAAGACAGCACCAACATCTGGGCTTGGAGGAATCTGGACTCAACCATCACACTCTAGAATATAAAATAAACTAAATCATATATAAAGCAAAAACCATAGCAGGGCTGTCTGGAATCGTACCACCGGAGAGCAAAAAAGCTGCCTTTATGGTGGCATCTTTTTCCAGGGATGTCCATGCATTTTCAGCAAGAATATTCCAAACCATATTCTGCTGTCATTACAAAGGTATGGCTGAGGAAGGAGTGGCTATGGGAACTAGACAGGCCAAGATAAGTTTCACTTTAAACATCAGATTTTCTCACAGCAGTCAATAAGATAACTCACTGGGTTAAATTCAAAGCTTGATTTACAACACTTTCCCTAAAGGCACATCAATCAAGGGCAATCAATTGGATCTAGAAGTGATAGCAGGTAGAATGTGCTGTGTTTATTCAAAGCTGGCCTGGCTATATCCCCGTGTTTTCAGTCTTTTTAGTACAGCCTTCTGGCTGCTGAATTTACCTTGTTGCATGCATGAATGCATATATGAATTACAGTGTATCTGCTTGCACAAAACCTGGAGTAAAAACACCACTTTCTACCCACATTTCCGACAGAGGCATTATTGTAGGGTAAAGTGACATACAGTGGTAGCATTATGGTTAGTGTCTCTCACTATGTCTGTAATGAACCCCAGCATTACTTGGTGGTTTGTGGCTTTTTCCAGTAAGTCCAGACCACATGGAGGGATAGAAGAGCATCAAAATGCATTGATGGGAATTGTGGCTAAGACAATGTTTAAAAAAAAAAAGAAGACCAGATCAAGGCAGTGTCTCCCAAGACAAACTACATAGACCCAGCTGGTGTCAGCTGCTACACCTGTCTGAAGTCTATCATAGGTGTGTATGTGGTGAATAAAAGGGAAAATAGAAGGAATATTTTTATTCTATGCAGCTTGTTCGGTAACATTTACTTAAATCTGTAAATTGTTGTCCACGTTAATACAGGGCTGAAGCTGTTCTAACGACAAAACTGCTGTTTTTAATTAGATAAATATCTTCTGTAGCATCAGTGAGTGTAATCTGCGTGCGTGTTTTACACACAGTTACACTTTGTATCGTCTGTGCTGTGTAGTTTGAATCAGCTAATCCGGTACAAAGCAGTCATTTTGTCTGCAAAAACGCCTCTGTATTTGAGTTATTTTGTTGTGGATATAACAGGTCTCTGCTGTATTCACGCTCATGTGTAACATTTCCTCTGTGCGGCCACAGTGTGGGGACGGGTATCTCAGGTTTGTTAAAGATGGCTGGAGCCTCACTGTGCCGTGCCCTCATAAAGACAGCCTGTTCCTCGCAGGTAAACATAGAGCAGGTTGATGGAAACTGCACAGGGAAAACAGACAGTGGAGACAGCATGGAATGTGCTCCTCAGACATCATTTTGCATGTGTGTGTACGATTTTTGCACATATGTGAGTGTCTCATGTGACAGAGGCCTTTGAAACCGGTAGGGGGTTAAGAGGAATGAGCATTCAGTGGTTGGGTGGAGGAGGATGTGTGGCCCCTCTCCAGGTTAGCTGTGACCCCGCTGAGGTCAGAGTGCACACTGGAGGCACCAGGGAAGATGCCTTCTTTGAGGCGATGATTTATCAGGGCCACCTGGAATAACTTATCTCCATTTTTGCTCATGTCTACCTCTCTACTTGTACTGAACAGTAGACAGTCTGTGAGAAGGTCATAGCTTTCAGTTTAAATAGATCTGGTGCTGTGAAGACTGCTGTCTGATTATTGGAACGCATTCTAAAGGCTTCCTTTCCAGACATTGAATCCTCATGCCAACATTTCCCTTCAATGTTATTATTGGAACAATAATAATAGCATCGATCTCAAGTTATTACTTTTATTGACTACCAGTGTCTGTTTCTGATCCCAGATGATTTTGAAACTGTCATCTTTAAAAAATGGCTGAACATTTTGAAGAGAAAAGTCATTTGGTTATTGCCCAATGTTCTGACATCCGTTTAAAAAAAAAGGTAGTTAAGTAGTTAGAGCTGAAAGAGGTCAAACTTTCTGAGGGATTTGAAAGCTTCCAAATTCATTTGAATAAGAGCCAAAAATCACAAAAAGATATTAACACCAGAAGTTATTGCTGAAATGTCCTGAATGATTTGATACCTTACTTGTTGCAATCAGTTAAAGTATGATGAAGTAGTTAGACGCACAAAAACGTAGGTAAAAAACTGTAAAACAGGAGAACAATAGTGAGAAAACTATGAATGACAGTTGGTGCACAGATATTTGTGCTGAACAACAAGGCATTCACAGAGACATTTTGGTTTAATTCGTAGTTATTGTTAAAGGCACAGCTGGACTAGTGTGAAAGAAGCTGTGCAGGTTGTTTCACAAGTGGTGATTGATCAAACTGTCTGACACAGAGTCATACAGCATAAAATTAATCGTGCATTACTGATGAAATGAAAACAGGCCAAAAGCATGAAGTTGTTTTTGTTTGTTTGCCCTTTACTTAGAATTCTTATTTAAATTACCTATACAAACAGAGAGGTGACACCAGAATGAATTGAATAAATAAGGAAGAAAAACAACCTCCCGAACACATATTTATCTTCCAAGACCATCTGTGGGAATAGCTAAACGGGTGAATGAAAGAAGGATATTGTAAAATCATACATTTGGCAATGCAAGGTAAAAGAGAAGGAGTTGGACAAAACAAAAACCTAACTGATATGTTGTCAGACTTTCCCATGTTCAAGACAAACAGTCAGAAATCATCCTCCTAACAAGAAACAAGAATATGTCACAAACTATGGTCACGTTTTATTCTCTGCCCTGACAAAGATGTGGAAAGCAGACCCATAAAGGGGCCAAATAGCTAAATAAAAAACTTCCGATAAATCTTGAAAAGGCTAATCCAAAGGAAGCACCCAGAGAATACACAACCCCTGATGACCATGAACTGTGATTGTGGGTTCTGCAGCTGGAATAATTCACTACTCTTACACATTTCCAATTTCTCAGGGGGTGTCTCTCTATGTGTTTGTGTGTAATATTGTGTCAGTGTTTAGGAGAAGCCTGTGGAATGTGTGGGGGATGCAGATCAGATTTCGGGATGACCTTGAGTGTGCCACATCGCAGACAAAGCAAATTTATATATGTGTGTGTGTGTGTGTTTTAACGTGTAGCACAAGAGCAAAAGAAAGAAAATAATCAGAACAGACAATCAGAGAGATTGTTTTCACATGAACAAGGAAAAACCTTTATATCGCAGTGCCCTCCTTTTAAAATTCACTGTAGACAATCAGAAAATTATTTGTATTTTCCTTTTCATTACAGAGGGATGGTCTTTCACTCTACGAAACTCCTCCCTTGTCCTTTTTAGACAAAGATTGTGTTTCTTTATCAAAATTCGTACATTTGTCACAACTCTTGTCACAACTCTTGTCACGTAACTAGTTTGAATCTCCACAATATACTAAATGACAACTATATCACCCTCTACCATTATTGATTAATTAGCTGTCATGCAGACTCTGCCTTAAAATACGGGAGCCATGTCAACGCATAAAATCTGAAATGTGCTGAAGAATAGTAGCGTACATGATGTGTTTTCCAGCATTAACGCATGCATACCTCCTCTATTTGTATCTTCCTGTTAAAAAAAACCCAACTGAGGCTTATACATGTATATATTCACAATTAGATTCTGTCAAACTGTATGCTTAGTATCGTAACATTTTATTGAAATATTGAAATAGTTCATGAGTTGCCATCTATATTGGTCAAATATACATGAATAAAAAATCAGTCACTGTAAATTAACATCTTCTAACTCAGAAGAAATAAAGCATACATCTACACAAAACAAGGCAGTAGTGTTTTAAATCACTAAAAGCGTAACCATCTTCTTCACAATAACTTGTGTGATGTCAGCCCTCCTGTTACATTTCTTTCCAGAATGAACTGCCCCGTCTCTTCTTTGCTCACTTCCCACCAGTATAAAACTTTAAATAAAACAGAGCTGATTTGAGCAGAATCCTTGTCAAATTCCTGAAACACTTCTGTCTTGTGTCACACTCACGGAAAGGAGATGAGAGAAGAACCAAGGCCAATGTGAGGGAGGATCTGAACACCTCCTTAGACTTCCCCTCTGGCAGAAACAGCTACACAGATTAGGTTGAAAGGACATAGAGTACTACTTAAAGAACAGTCGGTCTGTTTATACAGAACTCCAATTCAGCCTTTTCATCACATAGTCCTCCAGAGGATATTTGTTGTCCCATTTTCAATGGCTGGTGGGCTTTCAGGCTGTTGCTCCGCTTGGATCTACTTACACCTATTATTGTAAGACCTGTCAAGGGAAGGCTTTGCTTGTGCTTAACTGACACTTGGGTGAAATGTGCATCCTTTGAGTCTTGACTTTTACAATTCAGAAAAATAATCACCTTTTGCAAGTACAATGCTTTTAATAGTTAGGTTTAAGAAACAAGAGATTGTATGTGTAGATAAAGAAATGAGTGACCATGAAACTGAGAGCAGAGAAGGAGAGTGAGTAAAAATAAGACTTACAGTGAGGGGAAATCATCCATCTAGTGTGGCACAAGACTGTTCAGTTCCCTAACCACAGAAGTCCTCAGGGATGAGCTCCTGTCAGAACTGGTTTCACTCTCCTCCAATGGACTGCTGGTGCTTTCTTTAAGTTTTTAGTGAGAATGGAGGGAAACATCCATGCAAAATGGTAATATTCAACAAGTCACTTTAAAAATCTGACGTCAGACATTTTTGCTGGAATCTTTTATTGACTTTCTTGAATGATGAGAGATGCGGTTATTAGTGTGTGAAAGACTGGTAAATATATGCGCTCACCTTTACTCCGAAAGGAGCAGATCAGGGGAGAAAACCAGAGGACACCGTTACGGGAAATTGCAGTTGGATGAAACAGTCTGTGATTGAGTGAACTTTTGAAAATGGCAAAGATTATTTTAAAAAAGCACAGATCCATGCACTTAAGTACTCCTCTACATATTCTTTATTTTCAATCTCAGTTACTGCTGATGCTTTGTGTACAGATTGATAGGTGTGAGTCAGTTTGTGAATCAGTATTCAAATTCACATAGACAAGAGGGGTTTGTGTAATATCTTTAGAAGATTAGACATTTTAAACCGGTTATTCAAGTTTTGATAATGTGTTTGATTGTTGGTTAACAATCCAGGTCCTATTAAGATAGAGATCTATAGGTTTTGTATTTATTCAATGTTTGTTATGTTCTCCTGCTTCATGAGGTCTCAGGTGTGCAATAAAGATATACAAGTACAGAAAAATTTAGCATTTCCACTGACCTCTTTTTGATTTATACAACTACTCTGGTTTTACACTTCATGCTGGTACATTGAGTACAGAACAGCAGGGCTGCTTTGAGCAGCACATATTTTCACCTTCTCTTAAGTGCTGTGCCATGGTCTAAGGCACTAAGACCGAGAGATTTCTGAAACCTTTTGTTTAAAATTAAAAAATACCCATAAAAAGTAGTTTTTTTTTAGTAATATTAGTTGCTGTTTTGTGTATTCTTGAGTCTGCGCTAATGCTAAACCCAGTCTCTCTCTCTCTCTATCCTCCGTATATAGCAAACATGTTGGACACCATGCTACTGAAGAGTGGATGGAAGGAGGGAACGGAGCGGCTGGTGGGGGAGAGCAGCAGCACAGCCACAGTTTCAGCCCAGAACATCCTGCGGTGCCACTGCTACCCCCAGTGCCCCGATGGCTCTGTCAACAACACTTGCACGTATGGTGGAGTTCACACAAACCTTAATGAACAGTTTAAAATAACTTATCCGAGGAGAGCAAAAAACAGTTTGAAGTCATTGCACCAGAAGACATCCGATGACTTGATGATTCCAAATACATTTTCTGTAACTGCATTCATTATTGATAACTCTCAAGCCGCTTGAGGCACAAACGAGAAACACTTCCATTAGTATACACTTGTGTTTGAAACATCAAGGCCTGAAGTGCAGCTTTTTCTGTGTTAAAGATTTAACAAACTGCATTGCATATTTGTGAGTGAAAAGACACATTATTTAACTTTGATATTTAAAAGAAAAAAATCACAATCGTCATGATTTGATGTTGGTTTTATTCTAAAATGTATCGTTAGATATGTTTGGTGGATTTGTTTTTTGCATGTTATTATTGTGTCATTAAAATCTGACATTGTGACTAGTCTATTTCTAGAATATCAGACAAAAACTGTTTAAGGCCGCGGTTTTGTAGCTTTTTATTAATGATACCAATCATTTTCAGTGACCGTTAAAGCGTGCTTTGTTTATTGTCTTTGTCTGTGTAATCGTAGTTATCGTTATCGTAGGACGTTGCGTTTGTTGAAAAGTTATTTCTTATTCACACATTTGTTTTATCCAACAATCTGTCCAGAAAGCCAAAAAAACCTCACATCCCCAAAAATGGAAATAGTAGTTCAAACTTCTACAGCACTGAATTGCATTGTCATTTAATGGCAGCTGCAATTTTGTCTCTAAAGACCTGTATTGTTCAAGCCCTGATGAAGCTCTTTAATTTAAAGTTCAACTTCAGATAACCGTAAACAGATTTAATTGACTGTTAGCCCCACATCGATGGCCATGAGGATTTACAGAAAATGATTTATGTGTATTTTGCCAGGACTAATGGCTTCTGCTTCACCATGGTGACGGAGGAGGAAGGGGGTCATGCTGTAATGTCAGCAGGCTGTCTGGCACTGGGCGGCTCCGAGTTCCAGTGCAGAGTAAGTCTGCCGAGTGCAAGTATGTGTGTTTCTGCCCATTTGGCCTTCTTCATGAGGTGTAGTTACAACGTTCTGAATAGCTCTCCAGCAGCCGTGTCTCTTTATGGGGCATTTCTACATTCCAAGTCAAGTGTCATGAGGATAACTGTGTGTGTGTCATCCTTCATGTAATAGTGTATTCTTTTTCTGCGTGCGATAGGACACATGGAGTGCACGTTCATGGAGAACTCTTGAGTGTTGCACGGATCAAGACTACTGCAACAGGGACCTACATCCAACTCTGCCCTCACTTGTGACATCAGGTAGCTTTTTTTTTTGCTCCCACAGGTTCTCACACTATGAAATCCTGCCCCCTTTAAAGCGTTAGAGTGGGCTCATTCAGGCCACGCCGGGTCGGTGATGAGTAGTGACAGCTTAAACTGTTACAAACCACAGTGTGGTGCTGCAGTGAAGTGTCTCATGCTGCTCAGGGGAGGCCAAGAGAAAGAGGCAGGTGAAACAGAGCCTGCACACTTGACTTGTTCTCTCACTCTCTAATGAAAAGGACAGATTCTCCCCAGGGCCCGCTTGAGTTTCTTGCCCGAGGACGGATGTGAGATATCTGTCTGTCTGTCACTCAGGAGCAAACCAACACTCGCACACACGTTCATTTTCCCTCTGTCTCACCCGGACTGTTTCGCATACACACACCACAACACTTTTGCAGAGCCATGCGAACATTTAATGCTGACCTTCATCCAGTAAGGGAAGAATGATTCGTCAAGCCAGCTAAAAAAACAAAAAACAAGGAGAAAAGAGAACAGTTCCATAGTTTTCAAGTTTCCAAGGTAGCATAACAAAATTCCCAAAGCCCATAAATTATGTGGTACTGTCATGAAAAATATATAAGGACAGAAGTTATTTCTAATCAAAACATCTATTTTCTTCAGATTAATTTATTACACTATTAAACTCTATGTCCACAGTAACTTCTGTTTTGCTGTCTAATAAATTAATCTAGACTAACTAGATGAATAAACATTTATTTATCCTATAACTCACATCCAACACTTGGTTTATGTTTATCTGTCTCACTAAATATACTTGTTATTCTTTGCCTCAGCATGAAGAACCTCCAGGATTCAGGCACCTAAGTTTGTGTGTCTGATTGACAGGGCTGAGGCAGAAAGGCTAGAGCCCCAGAGCTGCTCCGGGTCTCATGGGTTTCTGTAGCGATGTCAACGTGACACCCGATACGCGGGATTCATGGATAGGATGTGATCGATAATGTGCTGTGAAAGTGGGGGTTGGAGGCCAGAATGAGGGGGAACGAAAGGGAAGAGCTTGTCCCTGCCAATGAAAATGAGAAAGATGCTCCAGTTGATAGCCGTGAACAAATGAGTGTCACCATCTGTTCGGCAGTTTTACTTTTCCTGTCTTTCCCTCTCACTCAGACCAGGACTGACTTTTGAGAATGTTAAATGAACACAAAAACAAACACTGACTTGCATGTTCACATCTTAACATTTTTTCAGAATACGTGGACAGCAGTATCCAGTACATAGCGCTCTTCATTTCAGTCACAGTTTGCAGCATCCTTGGTGTTATTCTTGTCTTCTGCTACTACAGGTATGACATTTGTCTCAACTTTAACAAATCTACACTTCCTCATGTTCACTCAGAAAACATCACATTCTTTCTCTGTGGCAGATATAAGAGGCAGACATCACAGCCGCGCTACAGTATTGACCTAGAGCAGGAGGAGACCTACATTCCTCCAGGGGAGTCTCTGAAGGACCTGATTGAGCACTCCCGCAGCATTGGCTCTGGCTCTGGCTCTGGACTCCCTCTGCTGGTAAGAACAACTAAGGACACAAGTTTAAGTCATACTACATGCACACTAATGTAGAATACATAATGCCTGACCACTTTGTGAGGTCACATACACAAATTATGTTCTATAATAATTTCTTTAATTGATTTTTATTTGTATTTTATCATTTCTATTGATATGTTTTTAATCATACGTCACCGACAGCTAAGACAAAAATATTGTGAATATCCTCTCTAATAGAATCATTATATTTGGCCATTAAAATAGATTTTAAATTGAAATTGAAACAGTTTTTTATTGTAATGTTATTTTACCAGGTTCAGCGTACCATCGCCAAGCAGATTCAGATGGTTAAGCAGATCGGAAAAGGACGATATGGTGAAGTCTGGATGGGCAAATGGAAAGGGGAGAGAGTAGCTGTCAAAGTCTTCTTCACCACCGAGGAGGAGAGCTGGTTCAGAGAGACAGAAATTTATCAGACCTTTCTAATGAGGCATGACAACATACTGGGTAAGATAATACAAATAAATGGGAACTGTTGCTAAAAGGACTACACGTTAGACTTATAATTATATTGTAAGAGTGAATTTTCTGCATCAAAAATCAACACTGGCATAAGTCACAAAGTCTTCTCTGATGTTCAGTAAAAATGAACTGCTCAGTCTGGATTACACTTCTCATTTCTCTCATCTTTTCTACCCAAACCCCAGGTTTCATAGCAGCTGACATTAAAGGAACCGGCTCATGGACTCAGCTCTACTTAATCACAGACTACCATGAGAATGGATCCTTGTATGACTACCTCAAGTCCAACACTTTAGACGTCAAGTCTCTGCTGAAGTTGGCATATTCCTCCATTTCAGGCCTGTGTCACCTGCACACAGAGATCTACGGCACACAGGGTAAACCTGCTATAGCACACCGAGACCTGAAGAGCAAAAACATTTTGGTGAAGAAAAATGGATTCTGCTGTATAGCAGACCTGGGCCTTGCTGTTAAGTTTAACAGGTACAACACACTATTTGGACCCTGTAAACACACATTCAAAATAGGGCAATCAAGTGTATCAAGTGTAACATCTATTTGTGTTTTTGTTTTGTGTTTTAGTGATATAAATGAAGTAGATATTCCTCATAACCTTCGAGTTGGAACCAAGCGCTACATGCCACCTGAGGTGTTGGATGAGTCTCTGAACAGGAGCACCTTTCAGTCTTTTATTATGGCTGACATGTATAGTTTTGGACTAATTCTTTGGGAGATGACTCGGCGTTGCATCTCTGGAGGTCAGAGAAACTTATTGACCTTGTGAAATTGTTTACAGTTATTTGATTATGACTGATTCCCTTATATTTTTTGGCTTTGAAGGTGTTGTGGAGGAATATCAGCTGCCTTATCATGACCTCGTTCCCACTGACCCTTCCTATGAGGACATGAGAGAGGTTGTCTGCATTAAGAAGCAAAGACCATCATTTGCTAACCACTGGAGCCATGATGAGGTATACATTCACAACTTGGACTAGATCCTCCTTTAGTCAGTCTACATTTTTAAGGCATAGTCACTTTCCACAAATCAGTGTCTTTTCATCAAGTTAGCAACAACTTATGACAGGAGAGATGGAACATTATTCCTCTAAAACGGAGTACCTGAATGGTATTTTGTTGTTCTTGCACGTTGGTCTGAAATATCTAATTACTTTATATTTCTTAAGTGTATAACATTAACATGGAATTTACATATGTCTTATGTTCACCAAACTGCTTGGAAATTGAGAGTCCCAAATGATAGGTTTTCTAACCCATTATACGTGATCTAAATCCATTTAAGACTGCCCTTAATGTAAACTTAGACAACTAGGTTATATGTATGTAGTGTACAAAAATGTTCCTGAACAGTAAACATCAGGAAAAGAGTTCTTCTATTTGAAAAATACTGTATGCTAACATGTATGAATGTGTGCCTTCAGGGTCTAAAACAGATGGGAAAACTGATGTCAGAGTGCTGGGCTCACAACCCGGCCTGCCGACTCACAGCACTGCGGGTGAAGAAGACCCTGGCAAAGATGTTAGAATCCCAAGACATCAAATTATAACAGAGTTAAGAGAGGTGCTCTCCTCACCCACAGACTTGTCATTGCCACTGGCAGAGGCCAATCTCAATGGCCAAGAGAAGAAAGGGAAAAATAAGAGACTGTGAATAATAGGGAAAAAAACTGACAGCGAGGAAAAGTGATGGAGATAATGGTCACCGAGGGGACACAATAAAAAGAGAAGCAAAAGATTTATTTCAATGCGGGAGATGCTCCCCCCCCCCACCGACTGTCTGAACCATGTCTGCCTCAGACTAAGTTTTCAGGTTGTGCTTTCTGTGAAAGCTGAGTGATTGCCAGATCCAGACTGTCCAGGTGGACACGTGGTGAAGGACAGCTGCAGGAGAGAACTCAAATCCCTCTTATCAGGTCCAAACAGAAGGACACCCTGCACTGCTTTCTAAAGCCATATAGCAGTATTATATTATCAGTCTTTTGTACTGTCACAGCTGCCTTTTCGTGTGTTTGTGCGTGTGTTTTCCTTTTTTTTGTTTTTGTTTTGTGAGAGTCACTGCATGAAAAGTTTGCAGTCCTATTCATGGTGACTGTATTCATCCAAAGAAATATTAAGTCTAATCAGCAACCTCATTGTAAAATATGTATTGTTATTATTGTTATTATTATTATTATTGTTATTATAAAAAGATAAGTCTACATTCTGTAATTGTTTTATTTTTGCTTTTTTTCATTTCTCTCTAATGTGTCTTTCATTGTAATTTTAGGGCCTAGCTCTCCCTCATAGTCTCCCCTTTTTACTGACAGTTCTTTTGTACAGAGTTGATTTGAAGTCTGTTAATTATTGCCTTTCACAAATAATGTTTAAATGTTGTTTCTGATCTTTGTACAGAATATGTCCGTCCACTGTTTTCCACTATGGCACCTATGTATCTGAGGCTCTAGATAATGTTCCCCCATTAAAAACAGTAAATGTCGTTCAGATTTGTGTTTAACAATCTCACAAGTCAAACAACCATGCTCAGTTTTTTATGTTGCATATAAATATAATTTATTATTAGTCTTAAAAATTCTTTCTTACACTTTGTACAATAACTTGACAGATGAAACGCAAGCTGTTGCAAGGAACATCATGAATGCCAGAAACAGACAGGATACATTCTCACTATACACAATAATAATCATGAAGCTGGAGAACAACTAGGGAATGCAAAGACTAGCCCACTGAGAATGTAAAGATTGTTTCAAAAGGATGCAGAGTTTGCATAGACGGCTTTACAAAAACTGGAACAACAGCCATTAATAAAGAAAAGAAAACATGAACTAACCAAAAAACACTTGAGCAAGTGCTGCTGCATTAAAGGAATGTCACAATTACAGTTTTCACTATTTTTTATGCACATAATCACTGTCCTCATAACATGGCTTCTGTCATTTATTGTATGAACATCAAAGACAGGGTTAAGATCTCCATCGTCCAAATGTATGGTTGACCAATCAATCTGAGCACATGGAGTGACATTATCTATTTGACCCCTTCTCAATTACATTTAACGTCAAACATTATATGTCAGTTATTTGGTAAAAAGCAGCTCTTTTCAATTGCATTGGTCCTACAAAAATATACTTCCTCTGTTGGTGTCTGTAGTGTAAATGATAGGCCAATAACATAAAAATCATAAACATCGATTTATATTTTATTTTCATTTTTTTTTTATCTCTCCCTCTCGGGTAAATATACTAAGTAATTACCCAAATTAAATGATGACAAATAACATGTCAACAAAAATGAAAAAACAACTATGCCAGATGCAACTCAAACACATCATGAAGAATGAAAACACAAAGCAAATTACTACAAATAAAAAAAAAAAGTATAAATGTAACATAAGTAAAAACATATTAATAGTCACAACTGGGACATTAATAATGACTGAGTTCCTTCTGTACTCATATGGATAGAAGGACCGGTCAATATGGCATCAGCTGTCCACAAGGTGGAGCTATGATACAGCCAAACATAAAGAGCACGCAACCAAATGAGAGCACTTCTTAAAATTCCATCAGCAAGCAGAATTAAATAAAAACTATACGTATAAATAGACATGTTATTAAATACTATGTTATCAGAGAACATATCTTTGTCCGTGGAATTGCTTGGAAAAGTGATTTTTGGGGAGTGAGAGATTGATTCTTCTTCTGTCTTTGATTCTTTGACCTCCCACGTGTGTCAGTAACACTTGTATACTGTGAGGGAACCGTCCATGTCCGCATAGCTCATCCAAATAACTGGACAGCTGTTTCCAAGGAAACAGGAGCCAAGAATATCAAGTCGTTGTACCAGAGAGATGAAATAACAGCCAGAGAAGTGACTGGCAAAGATTCTTGTTGAAGTCTCCAGGTTTATGCACTCTTTGTTGCCAATGCTTAATTGGGTCACGGCCGATTAGACCTGGCTGTTTTTATGTTCTCACTTCTTTGAGCCTACACTCACGCAGCATTAGCGAGTGTTAATGAGCACGAGTCACTAAGAGGCCAGATCGGCGTCCTGCTTTTGGGGGTCCCCCCTCGCTTCTTCTCTTTCTGTGTCCTTTTCCTGTCTGGAATGTCACATCAGCGGATGAGCAGATGTCAGTGCTCATTCACAGCAGGAACAAGACTGTCATGGCGTCCCATCTCTTCCAGAACCTGGGCAAGGCGACTGAGGTTGCCATCCGGAAAATGCTGAGCCTCCCATAAGTCCAAGATGACTCCTGTAGGGCTAGATTTGGTGGCAAAGTAGTTGAGATACCTAAGCGAGAAAGTGGGGATGAAAAGCATTTAAATGCTAAATATAGATGAATCGATTAATTAGCACAGAAATGATGCAACATGCATGTTTATCACCCTTTCAGACATTTGCATGCTGTTACCTTTATTGCCTGACCATCGCTTTCAAGACACGCAAACAACTTTCTAAAGGAATTAAACCTTTAATTGCTGATAATGAACCTCTCCGAATATTTAATTTCTTGCTTTTGACAGTTTCTCAAACGATAAGAAATCATTTTGATTTTGTGAACAGTTTAATGTTTTCGGAAAACCCTCAGGTTTTAAGAAAATAGCATTAGTTATTATTGTATTACAACATTTGACTGTTGCCTGGCAGACTTCTAATCATCTTAACTGCTCACAAATGCTGGTGTCTGAGAGATTGATGTCAGTAAACATTAACCTTCATGCTCAATAACAAGATAATGTAATCATGACAGGAAGCTCAAATTAGAACCGAGCCTGTTTGTGATTGCGACATGGGAATCAATAATCATTCCAATCCGTTTTTAAATAGACTTCTCCTTTAATTAGGAGAGAAAATATCTTAGAGGAAAATCTCAGTAACATTAAAATTAGCAGTAAATCCAAATGAGCTGATGATTACAAACCAGACTGTTTTTAATTATAAGAAAATGCTTCATAACCCGTCAGTAAGAAGTTTTTAAAGCTACTTGTAACATATTTTTCAAGACAAGCCCCCAATAAACCATGAGAATTTCATTTAAAAAAAAAAAGAAAATGAAACTATTTTTAAAAGCATCTTTAAATACCATTGCAGGGAAGAATCTCACCAATAACAATGACTGGCTAAATTGTCAGTTGGACCCTTTTTTTAATCAACATTTACAGGCATTCCGCCAGATTTCCACGGACAGCTAACCTTGTGCCTACAAGTTTCTCTATATTTTGCAACACTGTTGCCCTGTGTTCAGAAAATAGTGTTCAACATTTTCCATGTCATAAATCCTGTAAAAAGCTGATTACAAAAACACTGGGCTATGGGCTATTGGCCTGTAAGCTGTGGCTCTCTCGCCTATGCTGTGCTTCCTTCACGCTGCACTCGGTAAGTGGTCTCGTCAATCTGCAGCTGCTGCCTGTGATAAGGCTGCCCCGCTGAGCCGGGACCTTATAAATGTGTGCACGTGACACCTCCATCACACACAATAGACCATCAAAGACACGTGGGTGACGATTTGAAAGGAGGAGCATCGTCTCCATCTTCGTCAGTCTCAGTTCACTCCAACTCAATAAATCTCACTTCCACTTTTGCTGATAAAAACAAGACCCAATCCCCAAAAAACTATGCTCATCAAACAAAAAAAACGATTGGTTATCCACATTTTCCCCTAAACTGTCTCAACACTTATCCCTATTATTTGGTATCAAATATTATGCATGAGCAGGATTTTTATATGGATTTTTTCAAATGATAATTCAAACTGATTTGGTTTACCTTGTTAAAAAAAGACCAAAGGCGTGAAAACAGTCTGTTCACCAGATGATGGCTACTAAGGGCTTAAATATAAGTCACCATCTGACTGAAGAGAAACAGTCACTGAGGCCAACGTGCCATCACTCAGGGCTTAAAAGTGAGTCATCGGCACACTCGTCTTCCTACCTGTCAAGGTTAAGTTTGTGGGCCAGCATCCTCCAGTCGTTGCCTCTGGTCTGCGGTGCGTCAAGGCTGCCGCACAGCTTCTGACGAATGGAAACAGGGATGCGAAAGGCATTTGGCCCCACCAGTGTAGTGATGTTACTGGCAGGGTCCAGCAGAGATGTGTCGATACTCTGAGAATCCTGAAACAAGAGAACAAAAGAGATCAACAGGAGAGACAGGAGTGTGGACAGGTTACTGGGATTTTATTCACCAATTCACAAATCAAACATGATGAGGTTCTGACAGATTTAAGGCAGAAAACTTTTTAGGTGGAAGGTCTCAAGGTTCTTCAGTAAATTAACTAAAACATATCGGTAATATTTTTTGATACACACATTTTGAGGGTTAGTAGCCTGGTGTAGCTACAGAAACTAGATCAAGACCAGGAGAAAAATGAGCCAAATGAACCAGGACGGGACACGGCTCCGCACTATCTCCACTGTAATTCATCTCAATACTCAGCACAAAGCAGAACTCTCCTCCCTTGGGCTCTATTCTCCTGACCAGATGTCTTTTGTAAAAAATAAAGGAGAAGAAGAAGAAGAAAAAAGGAGAGCACACTTGGAGGGCGAGGATCCCTCTGTGGAGTTCACTTGCCTACATTGACCTGTTATTAGCAAGACTAGATGAAGGCAGCAGGTCTGAGACTGCCAGCTTTCCAACCAGATGATTTTCGCAACTTGAGGAACTGTAAGAGGCTTTGGATTCATTCGAGTGTTTCACTCACAATGCTTTTCAGTTCAACTCTTAATCAAGTTTGAGCACCAGATGTGTTTCTGAAACAGGCAAAAATGTGATTCTAGAACAAGTCCACTTTCTGGTCAATTAAGGAGTTTCATTTATCGTGGAACGTTTTTCATTTTTGATCAAGTGTCACTGACATCTGGTTCACACTGTAGCGCCATATAATAAAAAAAAATTCAAACAACTTAGTCAGCGTTAATGAACAAATCCCATATTTGACCTTAATTCTTCAGCAGCCTGTAGGGCTTTCTATCTGGACAAATTTAGTCTTAGGCTGGATGTATAACCCTTTTTATGACAGAAAACAAAACTTTTTTCAACAGAAAAAAATCTGGTATTCACTGACTATCTCTGTACAGCAAATAAATCTTTTTGTGTGGGTTCTGTATTCAAAATTACATGTGAACTTTACCTCTGATAGTGTCGTGTCCAGCTGAAAAATTTGCCCTTCTCCTTCAACTTGGCGCACACATATCTTACAGGTCAGGTCCACTGTGCCGGCAGAAAAGCGCTCCAAAGTGAAGCAGCAGTGAAGGTTCCTCTGTGAGCCGCTCCATACCTGCTGAAAGCAAAGCTCCTGCAGGAAAGAGACAAGGGCAGAGCTCTTACTCAGTAAGCATTCACAACTGCTTTTGTTCTTGTAAGAAAATATGTTTGAGCAGTTTACCTGGTACTTGGCGAGTAGTTTGCTCTTCCACAACATGTGGGGGACATCGTGGATGGAAAGTCTCAAGTTGTGGGTGCTGTCTTTAAAGCTCAGTGTCTTTGGTTCATCCAACAATTTCCCACCCATCTGCTTCTCCATCTGCAGAACTTCCTGGAAACATAAAGGCGAACTTAATCAGTACTGACATATGGCACATGGACCTCAAAAAGAGTAAATGCATCCTGTTTGCAAGGGCAGTTCCTCGGCTAGTCAGTGCAAAAGCTACTTTAATGTCTTTTCGGCAGGATCAAAATCTCTTCTTATTACTCATTCCGAAACCTAATAAGTGTGTTCAATATCACCTCTCGGCACAATAATCATTCCTTATCTCTCCCCCATGAAGGTGCACCCTGGTTTTAAATAGAACTGAGGTGATGAGATGACAGAAGAGCGGGAAATCAATGTAGCTTATTGCATTGATGCAGCAGCTTTGGTCTTCGAGAGGCAACACATGCATTCGCCTCCTTCCATTGTTCCACATCAACACAAAGGTTTCTTATTCAGCCTCAAAAACCTAATCTGCCGGCTCCACATTCACACAAATAAGTGAGCCCCGAAAGAAAAGATCACAACTATGACTAATGCTTACAAATACTTTTAATTTCCCTACAAAAGATCCTTTTTCAAACATAGCAAGAGAAAAGCAAGCACAACACACACACGGTCGCACATTTACCTTGAGTGCATCCTGTGTGTCGTCCAGGCAGTAGACTCTGATATGATACTCCATGGCGGGGCAGTTGATGGGACCAAATATGGCTAGTTTGAGGCGCTTGGTTGTGGCAGCGCTGAGAGACTGGCCCACAAGGCAGTATGTGCCCAGTGTCTCCGTCAGGATGTGGCACGCCTCCTCATCCATTTGGATGTAGCATGGAGTGGTGAAATTTTCTTCTCCTACAACCACCACATCCTACCGTGCATATAGGGAGAAAGAGAGAGAAGCGCGCAAAGATAAGCTGGGGAAAACTCCAAATAAAAATACGACCCAGAAAATAAAAATGAAACCCAAATGACAGAGGTTTTTTTAAATGTAGGAAAGCAAAAGTGAGCATATTTAAAAAGCTTCAAACTAAAGTAACTTTATGGAAACACAACTAGTAAGAGCAGTTCTTAACATTATTCTTTTAAAATTTAAAACACAAAGAACTGGACAGACAGTGGAGCCCATGGTTTTATGGAGCTAATATGTGCTCGAGAAATTACTTTGGGAATTTTACAGGGATGATTCGATCTTGTCTTTTTTTCTAGAATTTTAACAACTTGATCAACACAAGAACTGAGACTTTACCTGAATGATGGATCAGTACGAACTTTCTGTAGCCGAACAGCAAATGAGGTGAATTTAAGTGAGTACTCAAAGGTGAGATATTATGTGTTGTCTTATGAGGTAATAATATGGTTCAAGAGTAATTGAATTAATTATGTGCTCAACATTATGTTTGCATGGGAGCTCAAAGCTGTAGAACAGATCTCCATTAAGATACCCTGCAGAGGAGAGGGGTCAGTGGGGTTTAGCCACTTATGCTACACACTAAAATAAGTTGCAATTAAGTGGAGTGGTTAAATAGTTTTAAAAACAAGAGCTGTATTGCCTCTCTTAGTTTTTTTGACCAAAGTAAGACACATATGCATCAATAAGACTTCAGTTAAGTGTCATCTTGTAAGCACAGGGCGGAACACCACATTGTCTCCTTTCAGAAATGGAATACAGCCTCAGCCTCAGTGGCTGATGCACTCTCTGCGGGTTCTTGTTAATCTAATTTTATGCTTTTCATTCCTAGAAATGAGAGTATTGAATATAATAGACTATAAAATATCCTACAAAGTCATAATTCATTTGAGAGCATGAGAAAAAGCAACTTCCATTCATAGAACATTATCTTTGTTTTTATTGGCATGATATCGTCAAATTGTTGCGAGTAAATAAATAAGAAAATTGAGTCATATCCAAAAAGGAATTAAGATTATGTTCAACATTTTAAACAATGCTGCATTGAATTCATTTTTATGAAATACCAGAGTAAAATGGGAGATGTAACCTCTGAATTAGATCATTCTTACTCTAATTAGTTTGAAACAGCTAAAGCTTGTTAACAGTCCTGATGACTGACAATCAGCATCATTGGCTTTTCTGAACAGCTGCTTCACACAATTAAACTAACTGTTGTCCACAAAATAAAATAGGAGATCAAGTTAAGTAAGTAAGACAATGTTCAGACATATCAGGTCCTAGAATTCCAAAATGGCCAGTGAAGCACCAGCTTGCATTAAAAATGTCTTCAGAAAAATGTAACTAACTTGAGATAGGATCAATGAGGTGCTTAAAAACATGAATTAATAAGTACTAACCAGACTTCGGGCCATTTAAGCAATCATTTACCCAACTTCATACTCATATTAGAGGAGAATTTGACCATAAGGGATTCAATTGTTTCTTACTTCATATATTGGAACGTGAATAGAATTTGGGCATATTCAGTTTTTAAGTCAGTGACAAAATATTTAATACCATTAATGATAAAAAAATGCATGAAAAAGGATGTTTGTCATTTGTGACTTGATGGAGGAGAACTACTGTATCACAGATCATATTCAGCTAATGGCGAATTCACAGTTAATTTGAACATGCGTTATTTTACTTCCTGTTTAGACTTATTTTGTTTAGTTGAGACAATTACTTTTTAAACACAGATATAACAACAAGTCTTTGAAAAACAACTAAACTTGTGTGTCTTTTCCTTTCTCTTATGATGCCATCATGTATGTATACTAAAAAAAATTAAACAGGGAGTGTCGCTGACCCCTCTAATACCCTTTATGCCTGGACATATTTTTTTTCCATTAAGTCTGATCTAAGGAGTTTTTTTCAACTTTCTCCATCTTTCTATCTTGTTTCTCCTCTCCATTTTTATTGATCTTGAATTTTGCCTTGAATTAGTCTCTTTAGAATCCAAATATTCCTGCAAGGAGCACACTGGTATCAATTCAGCCTATTACATGAGACAGAAGAGGAATTACAGCATTTTATTGTGAGCTAGGCCATTTAACAGCAGTGTTATAGCAGATCATTAGACTCTTTATTACTCCTGTGGGAGGGCACTGTGGCTTCTTATCGAGGGATAATTAGAACACAGAGGGGAAAAGGAGGCTTCTGCTTCATATGTGCAGTATGTGTGCAAGCAAAAACAATCAAGCATGCAAACAGACTTTAATTTATTCACAAACTGCCCTTTTTCTCCTATTTGAAAGCGTGGGAGAATTTCTGTCACAGATTTAGTTAAGCAGAAAGTCCCAAGTGTTCCTCATTCTTTGACCTGCTGTCCTCGTCACCATCACAATTCTTGTGCTTCCACATGGAGAGGGTGCACCAGTCTGAACAAACAGCTCACAGCATTTTTTAGCTTTGACCCTCTGGTTCATGCTGCTTTGAATACATATTTTGAAAGAGTGTGATGTAAATCACTTAATATACTCCTGCAGCTCGGATTGCTGGACCTCGTATAAAGGAAGCTAAAATCATTGCACATATCAACATCTGCCACACTGACAGGACAGAGATGTAATCAATAGTTATTTCTCCTTTAAAAATACTCATTTTACATCAAGCCTTTTTTGGACCCCCCCAAGTAATTAATCAATGTCACAACGACATGTGGGGCCAGTTGGGTACATTTTTCTAGCTCTATAAATCATGTCATCATATCAGCAAGGGAAAATTGTTCAAAGACTTCCTAAACAGTCCCTTATCTAAACCACCACATAATGATGAGCTGACGGGAAGCTTAATATAGGTAATTACATTTTTAGATGCTCTGCCATTCTAGGTGCATTACCAAATGGTGTTTGGGGAATTAAGTGAAAAGCCAAACCATTTTTAATAGATTTACTCCTCAAAATCAGATGTTGTGATAATGGTGGAACCACAATTTCCATAAATGAAATAATGTTTCATAATTAAACAATTACATTTTCTGCAATGCGTTGTGTGTTAAAATTGGGATAAATAAAATCAGATAAGGGATAAAATGTTCACCCTGCTGTGCTCAGCAAGCCCTCTTGCCATTATGTCTGATCCGGGAGTGTACAAGCAAACGTTAAAAAATATGCCTGAATAAAGGCATTAGGAAAAGTAAAACAGAGCTGTATGTCCATCATTGGAGATTTATCAGCCTGCAGCTTAGGCTTTATCTATTAAAAGTTCACCATAAATAAACAAAGCTGATTTTACACCTCCTTGACTTCATCTGCTCTCCAATATGAGGTCTTTATTGTGTACCTCACTTTTTTCTCTCCTTTTTTTTATTTGTTCAAGGCAGATTAACTCAAAACCATCTTACTGAATGGATAAAAATCCAATTTTTTCATCTTGTTTCATGAGCTTCAATGTATCAGTTCAATTCAACCCATCAGCTTTTCAATCTGACATCTGAAATCTGCTGACAGACATTGTTACCAACAACACCACAGGTCACACTGTGAATCCCCCCGCTCACCTCCCACTGGCTCTGCTGTGACTGGCTCTTAAGCTGGATCAGCCAGTCCTGTTGGCCGTCGCACACGGCGCAGTGGTGCATGGTGATGATGACGGGCCGGGTCAACAGGGCCCCAGGGGGCCCGCAACTCACCACAGGGCTCAGGACTGTTTGACCATCTTCCACCAAGGGCCTTTAGGTTCACAGGGAGAGAGACGCGCGTGCTATTTAGTGACAGTGTGGCAGCAGTCTGAGTGCACGTATGACGGGGGTAAACACAGCTCTTGGGTGTCGGTGTGCTGACGTGATTAGTAGCATCGCGTACCTCATGCTGTCTTTCCTTTGAACCGTCACATACATCTCATAGACTCTACCCTGAGGAATGGCCCCAGCTGGAATTAGCAGACTCACCCCTGGGGAGCACATAAACAGACAGAAACACAAATTAATATCACCGGACTGGTATTGTGTGGCATACCAAATGAATAATTCTACATTTATACATTTCCTATGATACTATTATTTGGGTGATAGGGATTATTTCCTGCTTAAAATCAATGACCTCTCCTCTCTGCATAATATTCTCATTTTGGTACGGCCGTCATGATTTACATTTTTCCATCTCAGTTTGATTTGATATGATGTCCCATCTGGCGTGGGTTTTTTTTGTGTTTTCTTTCCCAGAGAATGCTTCTCCAAAATTCACTCATGCAAACACACACATAGATATGCACACCAGGTTTTTATCTCTTTCTCTGTTTCAGGTGGGGGATTCTCATATAGCTCATTGATTGCCCATGTCCTTTGACTGAACTTTTCCAATGTGACAGACAGCTTTATGACTAGCTAGCAAAGCAATCACCACTCTGCGACATCGGTGTCTAGCAGAGTTGACTCTGCCTAAGAACAAAGCTGTAAAAAGATGAGGAATACATTTTAGAATGCTAAATACTAAACAGCCACGCTGACAGAGCCACAAAATATTTTATTACCCAGACATGCAAACAGATCAAATATCAAATGTGATTCCCCCCTCTCAGCCTCCGTAACATGAGGTGGTTGAGCACAACCGACAGCTGAAAATATTTTACAGGTATCAGACTGAAAAAAAGTAGGAAATGTGAGAAGTCTGTGTATCCTTTAACGTCACTGCTAGTTTGTCTATGCCTGTCAACATGCATCTGTGGCATGTTACTTACAGCAGGCATGTATTTGAAGTGAAGACAGCATGGCTAATGTAAGCTGCCTGAAACTAGAACACCTCTACTTCAATGCTTCTAGTGCAAGCACCTTAGGTATCCATCAAACCTTGGCACACTGTGCACAGTCAACACGCTGATAAGTTGCATATGGCAAAGCAAATTACTTCAAAGTCACATCTGGCTGCATGTTTTTGTGGTAGATATGATAAAGTATATTCGTGACAGCCCAGTTATGCCCAATGTATTCAGTGCACGGTGCAGTTATTCAGAATAATAAATAGTTTATACATATATATATATATAGAATATAGTATATATATCTAGTATATGTATACTAGACTTACTTTAGGACATTTCACCACGTGTGTCGATAGCTATTGATGTGTATTGTCCTTTGGTCGAGATCTAAATAATTACTAAGGCACCCTGGATTAAAAGCTAAAACAAATCCTCATGATGCCTAAAATTCATTTAAAAGATCTGCAAATAAATTGTATAGCTATTTGTGTCTAAATATATTGGATATACCATTTAGCATATAGACAAAGGTCTTTTGAAAGACTGTGCTCTATAAAAATACTTTAAAATATAAAAAACACATTGTGTTACATACTTTTGCATGTTAGCATGCTGGTACATTAATTGATTAATGGAAAGTAATACATCACAATTTAACCTCAACTTATCTTAAAATTTCTATGTTTTATTTTCAAAGCAAAAGGTAGCATCCAACTAAGACAGTGTCTGCCTTGTGTTAGTGTGTGTGTTTTTTCTAAGGAAGTAATCAAAAATAAGTTGAATTCATCAAATCACATCTTTAGAGTTTAATATGTATTCAGATTAAAGGGTAAAAATGGGAGGTTGTGGTGTGGGGGCTATGAGGCAGATCATTTCCTACTGATACTAGATCAGCCCGTGAGATAATATGTGTCATATTTGGTTAGGGTTAGGTTAGGTCAGACAGCAAAGATGATCCAATCTAGCACCAGCTATAATTTCCTGGCAAGACATAGTGACTTCCTGGATGTTGCCAAACAATCAGTGGAGAGGAAGTTGTGACATTTGACGTGCTTTTCTTCATGTGAAATGTTCGGGGCCTGCACATTTGTTCTCTCTAAATCAATAATGACCCTTTAAGAGCACAGAATAAGATCTAATCTGCTGTCAGAACTTTCTGTGCATACGAGCTCACACTGATGGAGGAATGGTTGTAAACAGAAGCATCATCAATAATACTGCATCACTTATAAACACACAGATTTGGAGACACTTTGTCTTATTTTTTGTTATTGTACCTGAGTTGGGCACAATGAGATGACCCCCCTGCGAGCTGAAAGAGCCCACAGCGGTGCAGGAGGGATCCCTGGTGCGGAGCAGAGTCTGCGTCTGTGTGCGCCGGCCCATTGTGCCCTCGTTGTTGTCCAGTAGGCAATGTGGCAGCTTAGGGGAGAGTTTAGAGGAAAACTCTCCTCCCAGGTCATCCTGTGGCGTCACTAGCCCCGAGGAGTTGTAGACTTTAATCTTGAGGTTAGGGAGAGGGTCTAGCAGAGGGGAATTGGTCATGGGGATTTTGTCAGCCACGTCGTGCAGGGCGTACACGGGTCCGCGATACATGGCAGCTGCTGATGTAAGGTCAGGGGGAGATGTCAGGAGATCTGCTGGAAAAGAAAAGAAGAGTCTGTCACACATTTCTTTGGCTTTACCAAAGTAGCTGGGGAAAAAACATTTTCAAACCAAAATAAGCATAAAAAGCAGTGTGTCCGCAGCAGTCAATAGAACTGCTACTTGACTGAATTTATTTGTTTTTTCAATTATTAGGAGCACATTTCTGCAGACTGACTAATACATCTGTCAGAAAAGTTAAAAGGCACAGCTGTGATTCATGAGGAAGAGATGGAATCATTTAGACTGATTTTATACCAGACGCAATCTACAGAGATCAATGTTTAATAGCTGGGCTGAGCGGGAGGACTGAAAGCAGTCTGTCTTTAAGTTCTTTCAGCCCAACAACAGTGTTATGTTACCTGTAGAAGCTGGAAAGGTATAGCTGATCAGCATATACATTTTTCAGGAGATTTTCTGTCTATCCAAGAATACTGAATAGGCTACTGCAATCTAAAAGCTTGCTACTTGCAAAGATTGCCCATTATGGTGCTGTGTTAGAAGATAAAATGTCACCTTTGAAGAGGATTTTAGCTCAGATTCTTCTAATTTTCTCCTTCTATAATACCAAACTAATGTTTTACAACACCTTCACATGTACTGGTTGATTGTCATGCTGTATTTCTCAGCCCCTGTGGTCTTACTTTTGATCGTCTAAGCTGAATTTAATTACACATTAATAACAACTAATATGACATACAAAGTGATACCCTTGTCTCCCATAACAAAAAAGAAAAAACAAGAGCTTGATTAGTTTTAGCATGTAAACTGCATAAACATGCTGTCTGCTGTTCTGTCATAAGCTTCACACAAATTATTTGTCAAATGAGCACATTAACATCAACATTACCGCTAACGCGCTTGCTACCCTAACAAGTGAGTCAAACATCTCCACAAATCAAATAAAAGTCACTACAGATTTCTCATATGATGGACATATCCAGAAATAATGTGTGGTCTTGTTAAATCAAATGTGTCTTAATGATTTATTACATAGCCCTGCCATATTCAAATCACAGACGTGTAATTTCTATACATTAATTTGAATTTATATTAAAAAGGTATATGTAAATTTGAGTTGGAGTTTCAAGCTTAGCGACCAACGAAGAGAGATGAATGGGGGATTTATTCTTCTCTATTTAAATTTGAAAAAAAATTGTTCTCACTGTGTTGTGTAGAGTCTTAGTTCTGAGATGAAGAGCTCTCCCCAGCCGTTAGAAGAGGACAAGGGTTACATATGACCTGACAGAAAATGTATTTGAGAGCTTCAGGTAATCTGAATGTAACCTTTACGCTGTATAGAAAATGCCAGTTTGTCCCAACTTCTTTTCCACGTCTAACTCAGCTTAACAGCCGTCTGGCTGATGCAAAAAAGAAGAAACTTAACATTCAGTGAAATTAATGTTACATCCATGTCGTGTTTTGGGCATTCGTTTGTCATCTACTGTGGAAATGTTGAAAAGTTTATTTTATTCCAACTCATCCTTGTTAATTTTGTGGTTGGGTGGGCTTTCAGACTATTTTGAGAGGGTTTTAAAACTGTCCAACAATATTATGGCAGCCGCATTGACTCTCTTTCTCCAGACGTAATGCTTCTCAAATTTTATAGTTAAAACTTTCTAGTTTAGGCACTTCAAACTTCTCTACTCCTGTGATGGACTGGAGACCTGTCTAGGTATGCTCTGCTTTTCAGCAGATTTCAGCAGGGATAGGCTCCAGTCCCCTTGTAACTGTGAATTGGCTTAAGCAGGTATAGACAATGGATAGATGGAGACCTTCTTCACATATGGGCTCTTCTTCTTGAGACAACTGTCAATATATGTCAAAAAGTTGGGATTTAACTCGAGTTGAACCTTTCAACACATAAATGATCCTTAAGAAACAACGAAATTCACTAAGGAATGGCTAAAAGAACATACAGAAGGTTATGGAACGGTCAAGACAAAGCCAAGATATGAATGCCATTTCAAATAAGTTATTTCTATGAAAAGACAAAATAAAGTCAGAGGCACACTTAGTTATTGATCAAATTCAAATCCATGGGAAAGTACTCAAATTTGTGTGGTGGTGTTTAGTTATCTGTAATTTTAGTTTATAGATCAAATGTTTGTTTGTTTGTTTTTTGTCCCAATGTGTCAACGACATCCCAGGATTTGCATCAGATGCAGTAGACCTAGCATTGGACCATCACATGACTTCGTCCTGCATACACAGAAATGTATGGACTCGTGTAGCCAACCTTTACGGGCTGTCTTGATGCTGACGGGCTGGAATCCTCCATTTAGAGCTGAAGAATCAATAATATCAGAGCTGAAGTCCCGGTGGTTCTTCCTGTAGATGAAGAGCGCCACGACGACGGAGATAACGAGGCACATGATCACGGCTATGACGATCCCCACATAGAGGGCGACATCGTCTGTACTGGGGGCCACTGGAGGTTAGGGAAGAAAAAAGACAAACAGGAAGATAGTCTTCAAGATCAAATTTCCATAAAAAAGATTGAGCTTTATCTCTATGCAAGAGCTGTGATGAAGCCATTATCGTCAGAATAAGGTCCTGATTTATTATTGAACCAAAAATTATAAACCATTTTACTGAAAAACAAACAAGCAAGGGAACAGTGTTATCGTAAATTAAGAGGGCTAATTTATGATCTGCAGCCACACATCAAATCGTTTTCACCTTTCAGCTCCAGCACATAATTTTCCATTCTGAAATGTCATATACAGTGAAAACCTCATTAATTAATCTAAAGAAACAAATACATATCTGCCTTCCAAGTGTAAGAGCTTTTGCTTGCCTGTTAATGGGAAAGCATTTTTGCAAAGTCACAGCTAAATTTTCTTGAGGAAATCATGCAACTCTAAGTGCAAAAGGAAGTTGTATCATAGGCCTTGTAAAAATGACAATTAACAAGGAAATAAAGACAATGACAAGAAAATCTAAGAAAACAGGACAATTAATAAATGCAGTTCCTGTACAGAACCCAGCGACACACTGATCTCTGATCAGATGCCAGATCAAAAGTTCCGAAGACAGAGATGTACATGGTTTCATCTGCAAATTACCATGCTTCGTGGTGAAGTTCAGAGTCTGTCTCTGTCTTTGTTCTTACACATTACAGATTAGATCTTGACATTGCTTGGATTTCTCAAATCGCCTTTCATCTATGTGCCTTCCAGCTGGAGAAACCTCTGTGATTAGTTGGCCTGGCATGGAGGGTAGCATGTGTAGCGAGAAACACAGACTCAGACAGGCACTCATTACAGATCAGGCCTTCTAATGGATGCTGACTGACAGTCTGAACTCACTCTGGTGCCTCATGAAGAATGTCACAAGTTGACAAATGGGGAAAAACACTTCTTTAGAGGTAATGAAACCCCAGAAGGCTTGTAGGAGCATGTGCACAGTGTACACTCAACATGTCATGTGGTTGTTTTAAAACCAAAGCACATAAATGCAGACTATTACAGGAGAGAACAAAGACATTTTGGCAGGAGATAGTATTTCTTTTGAGATAGAATCTGAAAGTAAATTGCAGAGAATCCGCAGCAGATGGCAGTATCAGCTATAAATCCATGTATAGCACTGGGATGATATGTGTGATGGCTGAGCATTCATGCAGATTGCCTAAAGGATGAAGGTAGCATTCATCTCAAGCATGTTCTCTTTCATAAAGGAATATGAAGAAGTCTTCAGAGCAAGGTGAAGCAATCATTTTTTGTGAAGTCTTCATTTATATAATTGCATACTTGGCCAACAGGCTTCCTTTTACATACCTTTGACTTGTTGTTTATGTCAAGGTGGGATTTAGATTTTATCAAGCAAGAGCACTGCTCAGTGCTTAGTCATTTAAAAGAATCAAAACTGAAATTCAGTTTAACCTTCATTTCCACCCACAGTGTAAGAAGCCAATTAAAAAAGGAGATTGTTTTCGACCAGTGGGTTTTCCTGAATGAGTCTCACTATACAGACCTTCATTCCCTCAGTCTACAGTCTATACGTGTGTGTATATATATATATACACACATATATGTGTGCGTGTGTGTGCGTGTGTGTGTATGTAGCCAGCCTATCGCTTCTACTCGCTACTCAGCTTTGCCATTTTTAAAATTCACACTCGCATAAGCTAGTCAATCTTCCAACAGAGACACAAACAGAAAACAGAGCAGGAAGCCAAAGATGAAAGTCTATGAAAGTCTAAAAATGTAATTTCACTGGCTCCCTGTAGTTACTTAACATATATTCCCTAGGTTGAACAATCTGCCATCCCTGCTTTGATGATGAAGGCAGTGACCTGCTAAGTGTACGCATTAAAATGTATTGCTTGGATTAATGTATCCCTTTGAACATGAACCATTATGAAAAAAAGAAAGCATAAAAAATTAAAATGAAAGAAGTTACTAAACACTACATTCTCTGTCAGAGCCCAGAGATTTAGAGCAGGAGACGCAGAGTCAGAAAATAATTGAGGTGCATACAAAGCTGCACAAAACAGTGCAGGCTTCAGACTTAAGATGGTTAGAATCTATTATCCCGCACATTAATATAAGGGAAGCGCTAGATCTGTCTCCACTTGATTCTGCAGAATGCAAGCAAACTAAAACAGGCACTTAGCATCATTGAGAAACTAAAATGAGACTGCTTGGACATCCAAAATTTAAATGCTAATATCTTAATGAAAAAAAAGGTGGTTCTGACTTTTAGGAAGTGCCAAAACATTTTAATCGTCATTAAGTTCACAAATGAATCCATTACATCCAAATCTATATTTCAAACAGGGTAGTTTTCAGATTTAATTGTTTTACTTTTTAAAAAGAAGTAAAAAATGTAAAGGGTCGAAGGAATGATCAGTCCATCTAAATGGTAAGTGGTTGGAAAAGTATTCTTTCAATTAAAAAATGCTAAATTCTTTTAACGAAATCTTGTGAAAATAAAATTAATATCCTACTTCATTTATCCAGAGGATAAACAAACCAGGATGCTTCAATTAAAAATTCAAAGACAAATACTGAATCTGGTTTGGAATGCAGTAAAAGCTCTCCTCATAATTTTACAAATATTTAATTGAATTCCTTTGGAAGTTCACCTTCACTGCTACTCAGTTATTCACATGACTTTATATCATTTTACATGTGTAAACATGTAGGGAAAAGGCTCCAGACTTAAGGTGAAATGTGAGTTAAATATAAAGTAAGAAAGAAATTACTACAAAATTAATGGAATGTATGTTTCATGCTTTAAGATACTACTTATGAATAGTTCTTTTTTTCAAATTTCTAATAAGATTGCAGAGCTTTTAAAAAACCTGCTTGTTAGGGGCTCAGAAAAAAGAATTACAGACAAAAAACAGACATGACAATGGCAGCAAAAATCAAATTGGAAATCAAAGTGAATGATGAACATAAACAATAACTCACATGATTTTCCAAAGTCACTCTTGTCTTTTGCCTCAGAGGACTTCTGATAGAAGGAACCTTGAAAAGAGGAATGGTTGTAGATGGGGAGGAGAGTAGGAAAAGTGAAGACGGGGTGGGGAGGAGTTGGGAGAGGTAACGGGAGAGGGATGATGAAAATCAAGTTTCCAACAGAAAAACAAACTCAACAAATGAGACAGTAACAAACTCATGAGCAAGAGTGATGACACAGGGAAGTGATCTTTCTTGATTTGGGCCCTCCTCTTTGGTCTGTGTATGGTGAATAGAGATGGATGGAGAAAAGCGGGGGGAACATGAGGGTTCTGTGACAGAGTGGTGCGATCTGTCAAGTGGGTTTAGCGCTTCAGCAGCAGCAGGACAGATGCTGGCAGGTGAGGGGAATGGAGGAGCTGATAAAGTGTGGGCTCCAGCAGAGTCAATAGAACCTACAGCCTTGCATCTGTCACTGGAAGGTGGATGGAAGGGTTAGTGCACGAGATGAAAGGAATGATTATGTTAGGGGATGCAAGGAGAGGAAGAAGGCTGAAGGACAGCGATTTGAAAAATTTGAGTCAAGTGATTGGAAGATTTAAAAAATCTACAGCTCATGGGGCTTTCAGTTCCAGCTGAGCTTTGGAAAGGGGGGGGGGGGTGTTGTGGCCAGGCTGCCAATGAAAAGCAGGCCAGATTGGCAGTCAGGGATAATGCACAAGCACACATAATATTCACTCTTGCTGGGACATCCATAAACAACTATATAAACAATGAAGTTCTCATTGGAAAGGGAGAGTGCCACAGGCAGACAAGTGGACTGACATGAAAATCAATAGCCTGATAGATGGGGTTGATGCATGCAATCAGGCATTGGGGATGTAGGGTAGGGGGAAAAGTGACTGTAAGGGCCAGTCTAACTGAATCCATCCTGTTGTGTTTCTATTCATTCTGTCTTAGACTCCAGTAAAGGAAGAGTAAAAACACACTTTAGTGGAGTGGCTCCAAAGAACACCTCGGAGCCCCATAAAGAAAAAGATTATTCTTAGCTGACATCATAGAAGTGGGAAGGAGTTCAGGTCACAGCACAGGAAACCACGTTCTGTGTTTTAACCATTACTCCTTTAGTTTGACAAATTAACAACCTTGGGGAAATACTGTCTTCTACCAAACGATGTAATCCGACTCGGCAAAGGTTAAATTCAGCTTCCGCTTCTTGTCAAAGGACAATCTCTACTAAGAAACTAATGATCGAGACACTGCTCAGTATTTATTTCCATACTTTAAACCCTTAAACTTCGGGCTAAATAACAAAAATTAAACTTAGCATCACGATTGTCCACTCTTGTCTGACAGCAGTAAAACACTTGTCCATGCTGGTCTGCTTTCCCCTTTCTCTGGATCGATATGTCAAGAAAATGCCACGTCTGAGAGCAAGGTTATAAAAGAAATGAAACATCAGAATCAAGAAAGACAGACCACAGGGGGAGTGCGAACCAGAGATGTAGACAGGTCAGCCTCAGTGAACTGTAAAAACTAGACATGTTACAGTTGGGAAGTTCTCTCAAACACACAGAGGGCAACCTTTCTAGTTCAATCTGAAGATACTTAACTTTGTTAAATCCAACACCCAAAACTCCCCGAGTGTCTAAATGCAATAAACAAGCTACAAAGTAAATTATAACACAACTCTCCCCTTTTTGACTCAGGTCAGTTGTGTTTCTACAGCGAACAACAATGGAAGCTGAGAACAAAGTTCTATTTTGAGCTCTGGTTGTATGAAATTACTTTGGCAAATTTTTTAGATGGATTCCAATTGAAATGATTTAAATAAATTCAAACAACAGGAAATAAGATCAAACTGCAATGGAATCCACAGACACGTGTTTGCTCAGATTCCAGCCCTGCACTAGAGGGAGCAGATCAGCGGTCCGAGGTGAGTTCAGATTGCACACAACTTCCATTCCCAATCATATTTGCCATAACGTGAGCTTTTAGATAATGGGCCGTTCTCCTAAATGCTTGTGGAAATGGTCATTAGCATTGACATAAGTGGCTTCACCCTCTTAGCTTGCAAAAAAATCAATCCCTGAAATGATCCTAAATCTATATCATTATGGCTTTATATTCTCGGCAAACTAGCCATCAATCTGCCAAGAACGAACGCTTTTGGTATTGCCTCCACTATAAAGGGCCAGCGCAAGGGCAGGGAAGTACGGGCTGAGCATAAGCTGTAGTGCAGATGGAGGCAAATTACTAAGACGAATCAGATAAAGAACGGTAAATATGTCTCAGCCTTTACGTAGATAGCTCGATACAGTTTTTACTTACTGTTTGATAAACAAAACCTCTGATGCGATCTTCGAAACACTGACTGATATCTTCCAATAGCCAAGTTGTGGCTTCCTGATACAAGTATCTAGGGCCATTTTAACAGATGCATATCAGTCACCAACATGACGTCAACTGAAAGTCACACTGCATCCCACTGACACCCTAAACGCAGGTAGCAGAAGACAATATGGCTCAGCTGTACACATCATTTGCCATCAGTATCAAGTTCAAGACAGCTACCAGCCGACCCTCTGTTATATCATTAGTGTCACAATCACCTCTGTAATAGGTCTTAGACACCATGGAGGCACCTGTGACAGTGATTGGGTCTAACACCCCATATGATGTTTATTGGAGGAGAATGTCATTAAACTAGACACAGTTTAACTTAGTTAAACTGTGTGCAATGTTGGGAGCTCTCTCCCCTCTTGTTATTAAAGGTACAGAAAAGACAGCCAAGACTGTTCTGTTTTTAACTGAGGTTTTAAATGTTCTGTACTGCAACAGCTTAACTAAACCGTTACTCCACAAAAGCATCAAAGCATCTTCAGCATGCGTCTGATACGTGAACGTGTTATAAGGCAGTGGGAGCAGGATTCTTGATTCAGCTGAACTGCGTAGCTGTTTTTAACTTGCTGGAAGAAAGAGAAACAGAGCACAACTCCATGCCAATAGGAAAATATGCGGCTCTGCTTTTGCCATTTTGAATAGAAATTCGACGCACTACTAAGAGAAAAATGCTGGTGCTTTAGAGACAATGTAATACCAACCATTTATTTAACATACTTTCTCACCTTCCGGCAAATGCATTGGAATGCTCCAGATCAAATTTGAGGCCATCACGGTTTCCCTCATCGGAGAATTTATGTAATAGTAGAAATCAAAAGAGTTCAGTTCATATGCCCTTCATGATTCCTTAGCTTTGACCAAAAAAAAAGTGTTCCGTAGTTTAATTTTATCATGACTTACTATTCTAAGTGTGGGTTGTGTGCATTTCTAAATTTCATTTAACTTTTTTCACGTGTCATTCACGTCATACATATGAACTTACAGGCAAACAGATCAAGGAGAGAGGACAAAAAAGAGATTTTAGCTCCTCTGGTTGTTAAAACACGAGTGAAGTGAAACAAAGTGACAGACGGATGAGAGTGTAATGGGTGTGAAAAACAGCATGGTGATGAAAGAGCACTGTAAAACTCCAGGTCAAAGGGTGAAGAGATTTCTCAGGTTGGCAGGTCAGAGAGAGTAGCAGAGGATTAGTCGGGTACTCACTCTGCATGCACAGCCCATCGGTGCAGTTCTTTGACTGGAGCACCATGCCCTCACAGTCCTTCCCCCCGTTTTTGGGTGCCGGGGCGATGCATTCTCTCCTCCTCCAGTGGGTGCACTCTGTCCCACAGGTGGACCACTTACTCCACTCTGTCCACAGGCCATCCACTATCACACAACAGATAGGACAGATGGGGGTCCAATGAACAAAACGGGAGATGAAAGGATGAGGACGAATGATGGCATGAGTGGGTGAGTGGGTTGAGGAAGCGAGAATGGGCGGGAGAGAGACACGCGTGAGCGCGGGGGCACAAATATGCACACATAGAGAGTTGCATCACATTTTTGTGCGCCTGAGCCCCTTTCAAAGCCGTGGGACTGTGGTGATTTGAAGCCGTACCTGGGCAGAGAGGGTTGCAGGGCAGCTTCTGAATCCCTTGTCCCTCGCAGATGGCACCACCGTTGAGCGGCGCCGGGTTGGTGCAGCTGCGCGTGCGTTTCTGGTAACCACGGCCACAGCGGCTGTTGCACACTGACCACTCTGTCCACGTCGACCATCCACCATTTACTGAAATACATTTTAAAAACATCTTAAAAGGTTGTTCTGATTAGTTTCTGGGTTTTCCCCCCAGGTTCAACGTTTCATGGCATTTTGAAAACGCAATCAGCAACCTGCAAAATAAGATCATATCTAAGCTATGAAATAGAAAACATTAATGCTGTAACAAGAATCCCTCACTGGAATGCTTTTGGACATCCTGATTGATAGTCATGCGCACATTACACAACGTGTATTAACTGTAGAGATTTTGCATTTTGACCCTGACATCGTGGGGCATTACTTTGCGGTGCAGCCAGACTGTAAATTCTGGTCAGATTGCTGCATTTTCCACTCACTGATTCCTCCTAATGCCTCTCTTCCCTCTCTCATCCATCTCTGTCATTGACTAAATCCATTGCAGACTGACACCAGAGCCTGTGGCTGAGAACAAGTCTGTGGCATTTGAGATGGTAGAACTGGGCCCCTTGGAGCCTCTGACTTTCAAATGTGCCATGCTTACAAGTGAAGCCCGGAATGTTAGACTCAAGGGGAAACCAGAAAAAGCCCTACAATTCTTTACTGTCTCCTGTCTTTCCTCTGTGGATTCAAGCTCCACCATCTCTCCTTCATTTATTGTCTCTCCTTGCATCCTGTTTTTTTTCTTTTTTTTGTCTGTCAACTCCTGTTTCCAGTGTCCTTGTTGTGGGTTGGGCTAGAACCACATAGCCTATCCCCATTTTTTCCAGCATAAGCATCAGAGACAACTCTCCCCTATCCTTTGGGTTTTTCTCACACTGCTTTGTGGGGCAGTAAAAAGACACTAACAACCACAACAACTGCACTTGAATGAGTGAGTGTCCCATCTACAAAACGGAAGGAGTGAGCAAGCATCAAAGACCTTTTTTGACGCTTAATCCTCACAGACTGTGCTGGTAACATGAAAGTCTTGCAGAAATAGTTGTCCCTAAAAGCCACTCTCTTACATGTCTACATCACCCTCATATTGGTCCCCAAAAGGCCACATCATTCACTTCACTGTAACTATAGTAGATAAAAAACAAGAAAAGAATGCCACATCCCCCAAATCTAAGAGAGGGATGAAGAAACAAAATGAGAAAATGATAGATTTAGAATATAACACTGGTTTTAACAATCTGGTCATTTTTGTGTTGTGTGCACATATTTACCGCCTCTTCATTGAATAATTTGCTCAATAGTAGTAAAATCGCGTGAAAATCTTTGTTCTAATCCCCAGAAAAAAGTTAAGAGTGGGATGAGAAGTTCTACCAAGCTTAGGATAAACAGCCAACAGCCACTCCAAACAGAAGAACAGCATCTTGAGTTAAGAAAAGTATCTTCCTCGTGTGTCACTTATCATCTCCTGAACAGCCTCCAGCAGGCAATTGAAGTCTAACTTTCCAGCCGTGCTGTACAGAAACAGTCAAGCTGGTTGATTTTAGGGTGACAGTGAAAAAGTCTGTGTGAAAGCACAGCAGGAGAGTGTTTAACAATTCAGAAGATCCTAAATCCTCCACTTCTCGCACACCTTCCAGTGGAAACAGTGGATGTTCTACGCAGTGAGAGACAGATGGATTTGTTTCATGCACATGGACTTTGAAATCAGTTTTAGTTCTACATCAGCCCTGTCATGGCGGAGCTCAGAACTTTCTGTAGACGATCGTCTGACTGTCATGCAGTAAAGAGGAGAGATGTGATGGAACAAATTGCACTTAAATGTCTGAAAGTTGCTAAAAAAAATACATATCTGGCTACATATTTCTTAAGTATAAGAAGGTGTGTTTACCGTAGACGATGACTGTGGCGGTGGTGCTGCGTCTCTTGGCCACGATATTCTTTGCCACGCAGGTGTAGTTGGCAGTGTCCGATAGGCGAGCCTGTTTGATTATCAGGTTGTGGTCGATAGTGATGTAGAAGTTCCTGTCATCAGCAGGATCAATAACCTCCTCGTTCTTTAACCATTCCACCTAAAAAAGAAAAGAAAAAGAAACTGCTGAGGGACTGGAAAAACAGTTTTTCAAAGAGAGGTGAGAAAGAGCTTAGCCTCATTAAATTGTCTAAAAAAAAATCAGCGTTTGAAGCATTGAAACGGCTATAGTTTTTCTTGTTTCTGTCCAAACTCTCACATAACGGCGAGTGCCAGCATTAGAACACAGTTGTTTACGTCTCAGAGGTCTGGCTAGAAAAAGTCAATAGCTATCATGCTCTTTTTATTCATCCCTAGAACAAAGCACTACAGTAAAAACAGCGTTGTCAGACAGCGGAGAAAAGAAAACTCTCCACGATTTTGAAAGCCGAGAGGCGCTCTGACCTTTTCTTATGAGTTCCATTTCTCTAAATCATACAGATATTGAACTCCCGGCTCCATCACAGAACAGGGGATCATTTGAAGACTTTATTTGACTGTAATTCGCCCAGATCCCCTTTCTTTCAGGAGGTGTAAAAAGGCTCAGCTTTTGGGGGAAAAAAAACACACAAAAAAATCACGTGCCTTCCCACACACTACAGCCACTTTGATTCAAAAAATTTCCTGGTTCTTTGGTTTTCTTCAAAGAGAGTGTCCGATGATGCCCGGCAAACAGCTAGCTTCCTGTGTATTGTCAGAGACTATGTGGAGCAGGGCTTGATAGGAGATAAGACACTATGGAGCAGGGCACGCAAAGATAAGCAGGATGTTTATAAAGGGTCTCTCTCAGGAGAGATAACAAATCACCAAAATGTGGGGCAATAAACTGATATGAGTCCTACCAAGACAAAACAGCAGTTTTTTTTGTTTGAAGGAAACTACACAGAAACAGCAAATGATGTACAACACATCAACCATTGTTATAGAGGCAGTATTGTTAGAACTTTCTTAAAAGAGAAGATTGACTGACATGCACTGGGTATTATGCATGGCCAATACCACCAGCTTCTGTCTTGGAGATGACAGATTTAAAAGATGCCTTCAGAATCACACGTCTGCAGGACTGCCTGCTCTATCATCCAGTGGGAACACACTGACGAGCCCAAGAAGAAAACCTAGTCAATACCTCATTTCACAATTATTTCACACCTAACATCTTTCCAATTAAGGCACACAAAACTTACACAATGCAGCTCATAACACACGATTCCCCATGACAAAATTACATCTGAACAAACACAGGGTGTACACTTAATATGTGCGGAGCTTTACAATAAACCTCTGGAATCTCGATGTATTTTCTCTGCAGATTTAGTGCTTATGAGTGTTTTCCTCCATAAACACGAATCAGCTGAATCAATTTCATGGAGCCAGGAGGGATACAATTCCATGAAAGCTGTCTACTAACTGAAACTAAACCCCTCTCTCATTGGAAAGGCATGCAATCAAGTGCAGTGGGACTTTTATTGCGATGTATAGGCGATGCATTAATGTGTCAATCAGTCACACAGTTAACCTGAAAAGCAGGCTCTTACATAGAACCAAATTATGATTTACGACAAATTCTTACTCAAGCCGTGTTCAAAATTCCCCAACGCATTGAGAATTCTTTGGTTAAGCTTGTTGAATGACTTACTGGTATCTTACATTTTGTGTTTTTTGTGTGTTGTTTCAGAAATTTGGGGATATTAGATTTGTCTAAATATCAATTTAGTGTTTAGGATTACATACCTGGGTAGTTTGTGGAGAAAAATTGAATAAATGCTATGTTTTTCTTTTGGTTTTCTACTCCTCACTTTGTATATGTGAAAATGAAAAATGTAATTAAAGCCTGGAGGTCTTCAAATGCATAGAAAGAGGAAAGTAACTGGGATGCCTAACTTGGTTGGTAAGAATATTATTTTTAATGCTACACTACTTACACAACACAGCTATACATGCAATCATTGGTGAACATGCAGATTTACTTATCATACATTTGCGCTATTGATGTTGTTGTTTCATTTATCATTTTATTTCTTAATAAGAATATAAAGTTTTGTACTGAAAATAAGTCTTGTTCAGTGTGTTTACCAAGCACCAGTAATTTAGACAACAACGATGTGTTTGTGATGTGTTTGCCACTTTGAGCGTCTTTTGTTCTCTTTCTGAAAAGTCAGGGAACACAAATCTTCAAAATAAACTAATTATACTGATGCAAACATGAGAGAACATGGGATTTCTTTAAACAAATGACATGATAAATATCTCTTGCTGAAGTCACTAGGTGCTTAGCACAAGAAGAGAAAGGTATGTTCCCGGAGGAGAGATTGACGGTTGATATGAAGAGGTTTTTATCCAATTTTGCACCAATCACAAAGGCAGCTTTCCAAACATGCTACGTTCAGATGTCGAGAGCACTTTTGTAGAAGAAGGTAATTAAAAATTTAACAAAAGAGCTTTTCAGTGCAGATGGAAGGGTAGGAGGGAGAAAGAGTGACAGGCAATGGTAGAAATTTGATCATAAATGGGATAGTGTGTGACAGTTCACAAATCTTTTCTTCTGTGCCAAAACAGATGATAAAAGATGAAAAGGTAAAAACAATACCTATAATAGAGTTTAAGTGATGAAATTCTGTAACAAAACAAGAAAAGAAGAAGACGAAGTAGCTGATGAAAAAAGCTGTATTCTATAGAGTGTAAGCCCAAGCTTGTTTCATACCAACAGACCCAAATCCTGGGCACACAGACGCACAGACACACAAACGGGCAACGCAAACACACACGCTCACTGCTCGTTAGCATCTGATTGGCAGCGAAACATCCGGAGAGGTAATTGGCATATTTCTTGTCATTAACGAAAGGAAATTGCCACATGTCAGCTGTTATTGGATACAGCCAAGTGACACAGAGAGAGACAGTGTGATGGAAATTTGGACCTGGAGAGGAGGAGAGAAAGACGGATAAAAGAGAGACGGGTCCTGTAGATACAAGACCGAAAGGAGAAGAGCAATGAGTGAGAGGGAAGGAGAGCAGGTGCATCTGCAGGAGGGCACTTACATGTGTGCCAAAATATATATATAATACATCATTGCTGAGAGTCAAGGACAGGCAAGAAAGAATAAAGATTGGGGTGGAGGAGAAATGCTCCAAAGATGTGACTTTATCTTCAGCTAGAGAGGGCTGGGAGGGGAAAAGAGGTAAAGACTAAAGCAAGAGGTAAACAAAGATGAAAAGGTTCGCCGTTACATGGCCATACACAACACAAATTGAAAATACATTTTAATAAAACTGCAGAATAAAGATATGAATATATGAAAGACACAGAGGAGGAGGAAATCAGTTATCTTTCTAAAGGCAAATCAGGGACATAAGCCTGAGTATTACGCTCATATATAGAACATTAAATGCATGTGTGTGTGCCCGACTGCTTTTCTCACAAACTGAATCTAGATTCAATAGAGACAGGATCATCACATGGTTATTTTGCTGATGTAATCTGTTACATTGTGGTTTGGGGAAGAGCTCGAGATGATGACAGAGGAAACCATCAGAGAAACTGTGACAAATTGACTTGTGGTAATTTAGTCTTAACTTGATGATTAAATTTGATGCTAACAGAAGGCCACCGGAGAAGATGTAACATCTTCCAGAAAATACATTTGAAGCAACATTTTTTTAAAGAACATTTACAATGTGGGTTTCATTTTATAATTTCCTTTTAGCTTTAGCATGAAACCCCAAGAAAATTGTCTTTTTCTTTTCAACTAAAAGCTCATCTTTGCTTGGGCTGATACAGATATGGTAAAAATGTACCAGTAAAACTGAGTAGCAGTAACATAATAAGTATAACTTCCTTTTTTACGCTGCTTTTTTCTCTTAACTGATCAACCTTTCCAAATAATGTCAAATGATCCATAACTAATGTAAGAAATTAAACTGCAGCTTTTTTTAACTGAATTGATATATATATCACAGCAACAATTATGTAGCGAATATATAGAAATGAATATCCCCCTAATGTACAGATTGCTTAATTTTCATATGAGCCTCCCTTTTGTAATGAATCACACGTTTTCATGTTGAATACCTGCTTAATAATCTAACTACCAAATTGGGGTGCAGCCTCACCGTCACTTCTTCTTCCTCTAGCAAACAGAATTGGCTGCAGCCCAGACCACAGCAGTAATGTAGGAGTAACCACCAATTGGAATGCCTCTCTGTTCTGCCAGGGTGTGCCAGCACAACACTAATTAGACCAGAACGCAAAAGCCACTATATGCAATCGACACACTTGTTAAGAACCAATGCAAGGCACAGCCATTCATTACTCATCTCTGTTGTGTCAGAAATAGAGTGCACAGCAGTGTGTGGAGGCAGAGAGGGGCGAGAAAAGGAAGGAAGAAAGAAGAGGTGAGGAGAAGAAAATGTTCCACGGCAACGAGCAAGTGTCCTTGACGAGGAAGACATGTTGAGCTTTCCAGTTTCCCTGCATGGAAAATAACCAGCTAACCCAACAGAATTAATTAATTTGTTGATTTTCCACAGAAAACATACCTGCTCCAGGCTCCAATGACACACCTAAAGACTGAACTGTAAAAGGTTACAAACTGATTATTAAATCATTCACTTCCAGACAACAAGCCATATGCTCTGCATCTGCACGCATGACAAGTATGGAAATGTGAGTTTTATAAATATTTACAAGCTAAGATGCACAAAGGTGTGATATTTTGACATGGAATAGGGACATTTGAGTGTAATGTTGCCAGGATAATGTGGATTAGGCAGAAGGAAAACAGAGGTAAGTTTAAAAATGTCCCATTTTGGAGTGAAAATGGAAACATCTAAAGAGATATGTGGCACCAACAAACTTGCTTGAACCGGCACAAACCGTTACTCCACTGATAAAAGTTAAGTAACACTCCCTGACTGTCCCTTTGCCTTTGGAAAAGCTCAGATGATAATTCCACCCAGGGAGTTCTGTCTTTTTTCACAAACAGAGGTCACATCTCACAACACGTCAAAAGCTCAGTGCAAACCTCTTTGAAGAATCACATTCAGGTCATAAATAAAACACTG